ATTTGGCTCTCCCCTTCACGTTCGGCGATATTTTTTGTTTTTCTCGCATTTACACAAATGCAAAAATTTTAACCAATCCATACGTGCATGAGTATGCGTGTATGCATGCATTTTTGTTGCATAATATCAGCCTTCCATTTTTACTGAATCTCGAGTTCATGTAGGTGGGAAATATACTTGCCCATCTTACGCTTTAGATTCCACTTGCATACACAAAGTGCAGGTGTTAGAAGATTGATTTAAGTGTCGGATGTGGCATAAAGTCAAAACTCCGGATGAGTTAGGTACAATTGCGACGTGAGGTACAATGCTGCCAAATTTTCAATTTTGTGCCTTTTCTGATTCCGGAAAAGCATGAAATGGCTTAAGGATCAGGTTCTTTAAGAATGACCAAGTCGTTTTTGAACTAAAATTTCAAGCCAGTTTAATAGTCTTGTAAAAATTTTACAAAAAAGCGCATGCTCTCATCAGCTATGCCCTGCACACTATTATCCACTTTCAATTTGCGAGTATCTCTTTCCTGTAATGCTGCGGACTCCTTCAAGGTTTGGGAGATATTTTGGTAAAACGAAATTTGTACCAGCTCGTATGCCTGACGGCAGGAAGATTGAACTGAATCGGCAAAAGTGCTTGTTTCTGACAAAGACCAACCAGGCTGATCTATATTTTCTTTTTACTGCTGTAAAATCGTTCACAAAGAAAAACAGCGGCTCGCAGTCAAATGGCATGAAACAAACTTTTTCGTGTAATCCACACAGAGCCACAACTTGTACCGAAACCCATGATTTTTTTCAACTAACGAAAATATTTTCCAAAGTGTGGGTTGAATATCTGCATTTGCTTCCCCAGACTCCGTCTGCCTTCTTCCGACCTCTCTCTCGCCACTATCCTCTTCCCAGTTTTTACTTCCCGAATCATTATCTAATCCTTGCTTTTGATTAATGTTCTTGACTGCGTATCAGGCATCCGAGTGTAGTTCAGGCATAGTGTGCTCCTCAGTTCGTCGTAGAGTGTTGCCTCCACGATACATACGCAACACACTGTGGTACTAAGCCCTGAGTGCGCGTCACTCCTACTAAAAAATTAGACAACGCTTTTGCAAATGGGAACAAGTGGGAACGGGCCCATTACTGTAATTTTATTGCTTTGATTAATGTTTCCGTCAGGCACATTCAGAAACTTGCATTCCAGTTGGGCAGTGGTGTCACCTCGATAATTACCGCGTTTTTCCACAGCGCTTCTTTCAGCATCGTCAAGTTCATTTCAGTTGTCACATCTTCGTTGCTGGGGGATGTCGAAATAATTGCTTTTTTGCCGGCGTTCCTTGGCTTCTCATCATTTATTTCTTGGATTTCACTGGCATCAATCGTAGCCAATTCAATTTGTTTTTGTCCCGACTGTGCATGCTTCTCATGATTTATTTTTCCATTTACACTTGCAAATATTGCTACTAAATTTACGTATTCGCCGTGGTTGGTTCTGCTTCTCTGAGATTTCGTCGATTCTGAAAAAAAAGTTCCCATGTTTATCGAACAAAACTTTTCCGGAAGTTTCATGAAAGTGCAGGGGCTGCAACTCTTTTTTAAATCTCATGAGTTTTCACCAAAAATCACCCCTTTCGTCCAATGGATGTGGTATTCACCATTATTTAAAAATACTGTCTCGCTTTTGCATATCTATTAATTCTATTAAAACAGAGATTGTTATACGCCAGGTTTGTCGGTTGCACTCGGGGTTCAACCCTTAAATTATGAATGATTGTTGCTTTAGCAGTCAGATCTTTAATTGTATGAATGATTGTTGCTGTACATTTACCTTGTGCACTCGTTAACGTAAATCATCGCATATTTTGCATAAAAGAAAATGAACAGTTTCCATCTGGGGTCCATTCTTTGACAATGGTCTAGATGATCAGTGATCAATTTTCCACTCAAAACTTCCAAGTACCTCTACGTGTGAACCAGGCATACCTGGAGACTGAATTTGAAGTCTTTAAGTAGTATTGGACAGGGCATACTCCGATAAAATTTCCAATTTCATCTTGTCCGGTTCCCGAGATCGCTTTCCGGCCAAAAAGTTCTCATGTTTACTGAACAAAACTTTCCGAAAGTTTTATGAAAGTGCAGGAGCTGCAACTCTTTTTTAAATCTCCTGGGTTTTTGCCAAAAATCACCCCTTTCGCCCATAGATGTGGCATTCGTCATTGAGCGAAAGGGGTGATTGCGTATTTTTTGAGACATCCGTACATGGGATCCAGGTTGCGCGAATAGTAACATTAAAAATGGCCAGCGTGCCGACTGCCTGCGCGATGATGCGTTTTTTGTATAATTCCCCGCAATTTTTGTCAGCACTGGTTTTTCCGGCAAATGCTTTTAGTTAAGAGAATTGAGACTGGCCACCAATGCTGTCTGGAAACATCCCGTTAAAATTCCAGTCTTCTAGCTTTTCAGGTTCCCAAGTTAGCAATTTACCCGAAAAAAACTTTGGCGGGCCCATACGTGGGTACTACGCGCACCCTAATGCTAGGGTTTGAACTCATTAATATCCACTTGGACGGGCAACATCGCCTTAAAATTCCAATCTTCTAGCTTATCAGGTTCCCACGTTAGCAAAATACTCGAAAAAAGATTTGGCGAGCCCGTACGCAGGTACCACGCGGGTAAGAGCTCCCAATTTGGAGTTGAGGGGCTCATATGCGCATGTAGGTTAAATTTCGAGAGTTTCATCCCTGTAGCTTTTGTAGATTTCGGGATGAAAAGTCGGTTTAGACGCACAGCGCACACACAGACACACACACATACACAAACAAACAACCCCTCGTCAATATGCGTTTTCTGCAATGCATAGATGTAAAACACGCATAAAGAGTGAGCTTTACGCGGGGGAAGGGGTACATACTCCTGAAACTTCAACTTTCTAGCTTTTCTGATTCTTGACTTGAAATTGTATGACGAAAAGTGTGAACACACACATACAGCTTCTTGCCAACAAGCGCTTTTACTTAATGTAGCAGTGCTGTAGTGCTGGCAGCAAAAACGCGTGATAAATAGCGGCGCGCGCCAAGGTGGCCGGTGCGATCATGCGTTTTGCGCAGTTCCGTTCAGCAAACGTTTGCCCGATAAGGGATTCCAGTACTTCGCACTTTTATCTGTGCATAAATAGTTAAAATGTTGTCCGATTCCTAAGCTGTGAAATTTCTCATTGAAAATTTCACGTACCGATGTGTGGAAGCCTAACTTATAACGTAGACGATAAACATCCCTCCAAAATTTCAACCTCCTAATGTCCTAGCTTGCGAGTCGTTTTCAAGTCAAAACTTTCATGCGGTGTACGTGAGACCTCGGCGTATTTGGAAACTAAATTTTGTTCCATGCATTGGCATAGAACATTCTACTGAAGTTTTCAGCCTCTTAGTTCTTTTGGCTCTTGAGATAACAATTTTCCCCGTTAAAGCTTTCACGAGGAGTTAAGACTCAGGCGTACATGGGAGCTGAATTTGAATTTGGGGGGAGGAGGGGGGGGGGGGCGATTT